TCGGACGAAAACAGCTCCGCGTCGCCCGAAAATCAAGTTTTTCGAAAAATCCCTCGACTTTCTCTCTCCTCAAGATATTTTTATTTTAATTACTGATTTTCTCTCTCTTCAAAACGGCTAATTCAGCTTTATAAAACTCAGATCGGCCCGGCCAATCTTCGAATCGTCCCGGGACGATCAGACCAAAATTGATCGTCCTGGACGGTTCCCTGAACTATTTTCCGACCGATATTTTGAACAGTGCCAATCGTCCTGGACGATGCCTCGATCGGCCTGGACGATGCCTACAGGAAAACACCTGAAATAAATCTGGGTAAATTCTGGAGCAAATTCACTACTGATCGTCCCAGGACGATCCCAGATCGTCCTGGACGATCCTGGAGCAGATTTTTGATATTACAATCTCCTCAACTTCAGAAAAATGTCGTACTCGACATTATCCAATCCAAACTCAGTCAAAACAAGTACAGATACGACTGTCTCATGTCAGACTCCTTCTCCCAAGTCGCTTCCCGAGCAGTCTGGTGCTTCCACTGGACTTTAACCATCGGAATCGATTTATTTCTTAACTTTCGGACGTCGTACGCCAAAATCAACTCTGGCTCTTCCTTGTACGCCAGATTCTCCTGAATCTCAACCTCATCAGCTGATACCTTCTTCCCAGAGTCTGATACCCACTTCCTCAGAGTGGATACGTGAAACACGTTATGCATGTCAGGCATCGAATCAGAAAGCAATAGTCGATAAGCAGATTTTCCAATTCTTTCCAAAATTTCAAAAGGGCCAACATACCTTGGACTAAGCTTACTCACCTGACCAAATCTGCTCACACCCTTCATTGGGCTGACTTTGACATACACAAAGTCACCAACTTGAAACTCGACAAACCTGTGCTTCTGATTATAATACTTCTACTGTCGGTCCTGAGCAGCTTTCAATCTTTCTTTTATCAAGCCGATCTTCGTAACAGTTTCTTCCAAGAAAGTGGCACCCAGCTCCTGTCTATCTCCGATCTCAGTCAAAGCCAAAGGAGT